CACAAGGCCCATTTGCTCTACTTCCATGATAAGGAAATCTACTACAAAGACTAAAAAAAATCAAACCTCACAACCAACTTTATTATAAAGATCACTGCTAGAAGAATTACTGGATGGTATGAAAATCTTCACTGATAATGCTCTCATTCAGCTCATAGTCTCAACTCCATAATAATGAAATCTTTCAAATGATTTACTATAAATGATACTAAATATCAGTATAACCAGTTGCACTGAAACTATTTACTTTGAAATAAACAAATTTCAATGTGTAGATATATCTTTTTAATCACTCCCTCTCTCACTCCATTAGATTTCTTTTATCCATCCATCCTTTTCCTCAAATGGGTACAGTATTCTTTTGGTTCTTCTTTTTTCCCCTCTGCATTATTTTATAAGTTCTTTTCCTATTTCTTTTTATTTCTCATACCTGATCTTAATTACATTATAATACACCATAACATTAACATACCATAATTTTTTAGCCTTCATCTCTACTGTTGGACAGTTAAGCTGCTTCTAATTTTTTGCAATTAAAAAAAATGAAAATGCTATAAAATCTTAGAATTGAGAGCTCTTTGATTAGAAAAAAATTAACATTACATATTAGTCTCAACAATGGAATTACTGCATCAAAGGGTGTGATTTTTATAACTCAAAGTACTAGACTCTTAATATAATTATAGTGGTTTCCAATTCCATTAGCAGTATCTGTTTCTCAATAACCCTGCCAGCAACACTGAGTGCTGTTTTATTTTTTTTGCCAATTTGATGTGTTCGTGAGGTTGATGGCATGGGAAATCTCTTGTCTAGAACAAAGATAAACATTTTAAATAAATTTAATAATTTGTTTCTTTTTTTGAAAATTGTCTCTTTACACACACACTTTGGTCATTTTATACACCATAGCCTGGGAGCTGCCTTTGTGAAATTTTTCACATTTCCTTGTTTTACATGTCAACTTTAAATCAAATTTGCCATTTTCCTAATCTAAATATGATTTGTTGTTGTTGTATTACAGAAAATTTATGTCTGATGTACTGGCACATTTTTGTGTCCTCAATAGGATAATCTCCCCTCCACAAATGAGATGCTATTCTATTTTCTAACACGATTTTTATTATTTCTAAAAAGTTTGTCATCCATCCAGAATGCAATGAGGTATGTTGGATACCTAAATCAAGGGTTTTTAGCCTCTTTTGCATGATGGATCCTTGTGGCATTCTGGTGAAGCCAATGGACCCCCTTTGCAAATGGTATTTTTAAATGTATGAAAACACATAAAATTACAAAGGAAACCAAAGGAAGATGTAATTTTTTTCCTTCTAAGTTCATACCACATACTGAAATCTGAGGTACACAATATCCAAGTTCAGAATGCCTAACTTAAATACATTTCTTACCATTAAATGGGTAGCCAGTTTTTTTATATTTGTAAAACAAATCTTTTTTCAGTTTTTTAGTCTCTATATGTTTTTAAAAAAACCCATAAATTTATAAAAGTGTTTATAAAAAACTTTTATAAAAAGCATAAGTTCATAAAAACTAACTTTTATGTAGATTTAGTTGGACATCAACTATCTTTATTATATTTTATTTCTCTACTAGATGGTTTTGATAACTATTTTGTAATGTTTCAGCATGGGAATGAAAGACTATCTTAATGTTTTTTTCCCTAATTGTGCCCCTTGATATTCCTTGTCCATTTGCTTTTCTACATACAATTCATTATGATCTTATCCTGTTCCATGAAAAAATCCCTTGATAATTTGATTGTCTTTGAAAAAAAAGAGAGAGAGGGAGAGGAGACCTGTGATTTCACTGGTGTATAAAACTCTTGAAGAAACTCCCTTAACGAAGGCAGATTGGTACCTGTTTGCAGTTTATCATCTCAGCAAGTTGTCTGAGCTAGTGAAAGGCTAAATGACTTGTGCAAAGCCACTATGAACCAGGGTCTGTCAGAAGTAGAACTTTAACTCAGGTTTTCTGTCTGTGATGCCAATTCTCTATATGCCATGCCTATTATATAAAATATGTAATTAATTGTGGAAATATTCTATTAATCTGATTTCATCTGTAAATACTGACTGCCTCTTCAATTATTTAATTTTTCCATTATTTCAGTCAGAGGATTGGTTATCTATGTATATATTTTTAGGGCAGTAATTTAAGTGGGTGAATTTCCCCACATTTGGCCATTACTATAAATTGTTTTTAATTGTGTTTTCTTGATCCATATTGATACTAAACAAGAATTCAAATGATTTTTATAAGTTAATTTGCACCCTACAATCTTGACATATCTTTATTTGGTTTTGAAACATTTGCTAGATAAAGCATACTATCATCTGAAAATATTTCAACCTTTTAATCTCTAGTATTAATCTTTCTAATATCTTTTCTTCCCTGTTTTATTACAATTGCTTATGTTGCAAAAACACCCAATAAAATGGTCAGTATATATCCTTATTTTGTATAGTTAGTGTGCAAACTTTTTTCAGTGCCTGTCCACAGTAATGTAAACTTTTGAAGATTATACACGCTAAAGCATAGGTTCATAACCTGAGATCTGAAGAGATATTTTAACAAAATTTGTTTCCTTTGTAATCTTAAGTAGGCTTCACCAGACTGCCAAAGGCATCCATGACACCAAAAAGGTTAAGAACAAGTTCACTAAAGCTTTACTAATACTGCAAAAATTAAAACTAGACTACAGAATAGTTGGTTCTATTTTTGACTGCCTTTCACATGTGTGACTCTGAGCAAGTAACAATGTCTCTGGACATTACTTTTCATATCTGGAAAATAAAGGGTTTGGACCCAGGGGTAGAGGAACCTGTGGCCTTTTGATTGAGTCCAAGTTTTACAGAACAAATCTCTTTATTATCATTGTTCTGTGAAGTTTCAATTTAGTCAAAGGGCCTCACCTGAGGACCTAGAGGGCCACATGTGGCCTCATGGCCACAGGTTCCCTACCTGTGGACCAGTCTCTCAACATCTCTTTCTGCTCTAACTCCTTAAAATTCTTCCACGTTGAAAAGAATGAAAAATTATGACTACTCTGAGGTAAGAGAATGACAAACAATGGCAAAGGGAGGGGGTGGAGAAGAAAAAGAGGAATCCCAAAAGCACAATAAATCCAAACATATTTAAAACAAACCAAAAGATGAAAGTGTTCTGGAAAATCTGAACAAAAAGTTGTTGACAAGAGAGGGGTGGGGGTCGAGGAAATGAAAGAAGAAGAAACAATGCATACTAAATGAAAAATAAAGCACCAAAGAAAACATAAAGGGCCTCATTCTATAGCTTGTCAAGGGGGAAAAAACCCTATGGGAGAAAGGACTGCTGAATTAAGAACTGAGAAAAAGAGAGAACAATGTATCACCTTCCAAAGAGAAAGTTCAAGATTCAATACGCTGAAAGTTGTGAATAGAATGCTAGGAGAATAATTCCACCAGTTCTTAAAAGTGAGATTTACAAAATTTATTTTAATTGAATTTATGTGTAGTATATTTTGTTTTTGTAGTGTGTTTATGTGTGTGTATATTATACACACACACAAATATTCATATACACATATATGTGTATCTGTATGGCATATACACATACATATATGACACACATATATCCTTTGCATAAAACAATACTAAAAATAAAATATACTGTAACCTTCTATTTCATTTTTAACAGAGCCTATTATCAAACAGGGGCAGCTAGAAGGCTCAGTGGATGGCATGCTAGGTCTGGAGTCGGGAAGACCTAAGTTCAAATCTAGCTGTGTGACCTTGGGCAAGCCACTTAACCTCTGTCTGCCTAGAAGGTAACTATGTGGCTCAATGGATAGAGCACAGGGCCTGGAGTCAGGAGGACTTGAGTTCAAATCTAGTCACAAAAACTTAGTAGCTGTGTGAATCTAGGCAAGTCATTTAACCTCTGTTTGCCTTAATCCACTGGAGAAGGAAAGGACAAACCACTCCAGTATCTTTGCAAAGAAAACCCCATGGACATACTGGCACAAATTCAAATCCTGTTTTTTGATGTTGATGGGGTTTTTTACAGAAATCATGCAACTATAAAAATAAGCAGCAAGTGAATGGGTTAATTCTATCATAATGGAAACAATCTGCAACAACAAATTAACAATCAATTTGAAATTTCTTGTTATTTCTATACCTTGTAATAAAGATATTCATTAAAATTCATTTTATTGGCTGAGTATCATGCTAGACTAGTCACTATAATAATAATAGCAAACATTCACATAGCACTTCAAAGTTCACAAAGTGCTTTACATGTTCCCTCACATAAAATGGATCTATAGTCTCCTTTGTAAGGCAGGGGTTCTTAACCTTTTTATTTGTGTCATGGACCTCTTTGGAAATCTGATAAAAACGTAAGGATGCATTCTCAGAATGATGTTTTTAAATAATTCAAAAAAAAAGCTAAATTTCAATTAGAGGTTAGTGAAAATAAAGATGTAATTTTTCTCCTATTCAAATTCATGGACCCCCTGAAATCTATCCACTGTCCCCAGGTTAAGAACCACTGCTATCTGGGCTCAAAAAATCTAAGTTAATATAAATTTCATTCCTTCAATTATTCAGACACCTCACCTATGTATCACCTAATGAAGTACAGTGAGATGTTTCTTGCCCTAAAAGATCCTAAATTCTTGATAACTGTGACTTTTTGTGATGCCCATGTCATAAGTAAAAAGTAGCTTACTCTTTTCTTGAAATAGTGACAAAGAGATAATGCATTGCCTAAGGTCACACTGCTAAATAGACAAAGCCATTTTATAAAGCTGTTTGTCCCTTAATCTAGCACTCAGTTATTAGCATCAATTATATTTTGAAAACCTATACTAAGCATATTAAATGTTCTCCATGTAAGAAGAGGAAGGTATTATTATATACTACATTATTCTGACCACCTGAATTCGGTTGGTAAAAGATCTGTTCGCCACGAAATATAGAAGAGCAAACCAGAACATTAGTAGAACATTTAATGACACTAAGTTTTTTTAAAGTTAACAAAAACTATCATCAAAATCAAGGAGTAAAAAATAATTACAAGCCAAAACAAAATTATGATTAATAGGCACTAGTTACTTACACAGGAATTTACTCCAACAACACTGTGGATTCAATAGCCCTTGAAACAGAAGCACGTAGAATAAGCATAAAAGTAAGTAGGAGGGACTTGTCTATCACTTGTCACCCTCCTCAAAATTCTTCACAGAGAAATGAATACTAAGATCAAAAGTGACCTTTTACAGAAAATTCAAACCAAAACTCTACTGGCAAAGGTCAACTGTCATTTCAATAAATAACCATTGTAACAATATAGCTAGATAACAAGATTACCACACTTCACTTATTTCAAGCAATATTCCATACAACTAAATTCCAGTACCACAACACAATAAGGTATACACTCCTTTGAAGTGTGACATAATGGGATCTGACCTGTATTTGAAACACCTTTTTTTTTTTTGCTATTAATATATGTGTGGCCAACCTACTTCAAAGTTAACTTTCTTTTGAAAGATTTTTTTTTTACATTTTCTCCCTGTGATTTGAACTGCTTGGGGGAAAAAAAAGTAGATGAGTATAGAACTATATAACCTTTTATGTAAATAAATCAGCTTTTTATATACTGTTAAGTACAAAGGGAGAGTCAAAAACCTTTTGGGTAAGGAACCTAAGTACATAATAAAATCTTTTAAGCTACCATTGTGTTTTAAGTAGAAAGATTTCTAATTTACTAAAGCTTTTACATATTTTATGTTTTTTCTCCCTCTTATACAAAAACCCAACTTTGAGATTCCATGTTTTCAACTGCTTTCATATCTCACTGATGCTTCAGGAAGTATTTTTTGCTGGAATTTGTATGAATAATAAACACAATACAGTAAAAACACTGTTTTCAGGCTATTTTCAAATAAAAAAAGGAAATGAAAAAATATTGATACATGGTAGTTCTGTAAGCAGGACAGGATGAGTCTTTTTGGAGAGGAGAAATAAGAACAACCAGACAAATCGGCAGAATTTTAACATTTGGTAGAAGAAAAAAATAATCTTTTCCTGAGAAAAAGAATAATATTCAATGCATAATAAGAGTCAAAGAATAATGGTAATAAAGGGGGAGAAAGTCTCTAAGTCCAAATTTGAATATATTTTACTATCAATTCATGACTTGAACTTTTCCAAAATTGTAATGGGGTATAAGGAGAAAATACAAAGTACTATCTAGAAACTGAGCCGCAGTGGCAAAACATGAATTTAGGACACCCTTAATATGTGTTTGTTTTCACGGAAACTTTCTCAATCCTCTCAACTAGGCTGTTTTGAAGAAATTAATACTCTTATCAGGACAACTGCTTTTCTGTTTCAAAGCTCAGTAAATGCTACTTAGAATCAAATTCTATTTATCACTGATGAAATGGCTATAGGTTTGAAAAAGCAAAACCATGGGAAAGATGCTTTATGACAATGCCACTGGAAAAAAATAGCAGTTTAGAGTTGGAATTGGACAGAAAGAGACAGGAATAGAAAGACATAGTGGTGCTGGTGAGGTGAGAGGGGAGTATACATTATATGGTTCTATGTTCTGGGAGGAAAAAGCACAAGGAAGCATTTTTACCACATATGGGGGAAAAAAAAGGAGGGTGGCTGAAGTGAGTTGTATGAAAGGAAAACAGTACAAAAAACTAGAGGTGAAAGAAAGCAGAATCCAGAATACAAGGATTCTTTATTTTCTCTCCTAAACAAGTCTAGACTCTACTGCTTAATTCCACTATATACTATTGCTAGCCATTTTTATTTCCCATTTTAAAGTGTTTGTTTCTTGTAATGACTACATTTCTGATAAAACAGAAAATCAGTAGCCTTTGTGTATACATTATACAATAGGCTCACTTATTATGGTTCTCAAATTGTTCATTTTTCCTCCATATTTTTAGCATAAATAAGCATACCTGAACAAAAATCAGTTTTGTTTAAGTGAAGCAGCTTATATAATTTGACAGATCTTCCATGTAGTTAGAAAATAATTCCATTATACCATCACTATGGCTGTATATCTGATATACAATAGAAGTTTCCACCTTTCCACATGATTAAACAAAAGAGAATACATTTTATATTGCTATGTATATTTACAGTAATAGTTCCACCAGTTGTGAGAGATGACAGCCAGGTTGCAGTACCACTTGTGTCCTAATCACCACAGCACTCTCTTGTTTTGGTCAATTATTTTACTGAAAAGGTTGAAACAAAAACGAAATATTTATAAAAGTTATTCTCAATTCAAGTACACATTATTAGTGAAATCCTTTATCACCCTCCACCCCAAAATGTAGAATATACCATGACACAAATTCACAAATTTCTTCAATGGTTAGAAAACATTCACAATACATTTTAAACCTATCAGTATATCCACTGAAGGTATGCTTTGGAAGGTTGAAAAAAAATAATGAATTGTATAGAAAGGAGAAAGTGTATTTGAGCAATCAAGTAAACATTTTTCATAACACAGCTTGGTTTCATGTCTGACATTCATCTCTTCTAAAAAAGTTATTCTAATATTGCATCCGGTGTGCAGATGAAATCCTAGATTCACTGAATAAGGAGGGATATTCTCCATTAAAGTCCCACTTCCTTGCTGTATCATGGCACAGAAGTGACCTGGATTCTTGAAAGTTATGTCAGCAAAGCACATGCTCTGGCACGTCCTACAACCAAGCTGGAAAGGCTTCCAGTTCAGGCCCTGTGATACAATGTCATCACCATGAGGACCAGCTACCTAAGTTCTGGAAGGCTCATCATCAGAAGACCAGCCACCAGGTGACGAGCTTTTTGGCCACAGCAACTCATGAAATCATCTACTTAACATGAAGGAGTTGAGTGATAGGTATACCCACACCGATGAAATCATAGCTCTTTTGATGTTCTGAAGAACAGTGCTCCATTACATAGATTTCTCGTTCATCTACCAGTCCTGTCAAAAGGCTGCCTTCAGGGATTAGCAAAACTGAAAATACACACCATTTTCCACCTAAATAGACTGTTCTTAAAACTTATTCTCACAACACCCCTGTGAGATAGGCACATTTTACAGATGAGAAGACTGAGGCACAGCAAAGTTAAATGACTTGCTTAAGTTTTACTGTGACTTAGTGGCAGAACAGTTATGTTCTTACCATACATATTCACATGGATCAACAGTATGTTCATGAAGCCGGCTTTTGATTTTTAATATGTGTTTGAATTACAAGTATGTAAACAAAGGATAAATTTTACAACTCTACAGAAATCAATATATATTTTTTAAAAACAGAAAACCCTTAAATTAAATTTGTGATCCTATGATCTTAAATAAAAAAATAAAAATTCCTAAAATACTATTTATCTTCCATTAGTGATCTACTAAATTGGTTTAGAATTTGGGCAAACAAAAATGATGTGAAACTCCCACCACACTATTCAACTAACATTTACTGAGTGCCTAGATTTGCAGATTTATTAAACCTGAGTCAACAAAGCTACAAATAAATTTGTTTTGATATGAAATATATTGCTACCTGTGTGCTTTTTAACTCTCACTATAAAAACATATATAAACATCTATGCAAAACTTTCCGTATACAAGTGAACTAAATGATGAGATTTCACTTTAAAATAGGCCTACGACTCATCTAAATTCACAAGGTGTACAATTCAAAAATTATTTTTCTAAACTAAGTTATAATTAAATAAATAAATTCTACCACAACCCCAGCTTCTCTTGTGTAGGATTCTCATCAGCAGTAGTAAATTGCAATAGATTATCATTGTATAAAAATTAAGATAACCTGAAACCAGATTCTAGGTAATTAGGTTTTGGAATAAAGTTATTCCAAAATGTTATTCAGTAAGATACATGCAAACAACATAATTCACTATGGTTTTACTCAGTAGGTACAAAAAAATAAGTCACATGTCATTTAACATACTTAACTTTTTAGCAACTTTTTCATTTCAGTAAATTTATCTTGATTTGTTGGGTTATTTAAAAGGAAGAGTAGTATCTGTTCATGTTTTTCCACCTATGGGTATAAAAGACAAAATTACATTCACTATTACTAAAAACTTACAAAGTTCTTTTTCATTTTAATGGGATTTAACTTACTTGTTTTTTTAACTCTATGCAGCCACAATTAGTCTGTCCTATAAGGAAACATAAAAACTATTAGCAAACCAATAAAATGTGCTATGATAACAAAAATAAAATACTCTGAACACAAACACATCTTCTACTTCAACTATTTCTATATTTAAAAAAAGTTGTGAGAGGTAATTTTACTAACAAATGAATCCAAAAGTACAATTTTAAGTTTGGGGGAAAATTACCTTTATTCAAAACACTTTGACTTTTAGTTGTGATGTACTTTGCCAGACCTTCCATCACTAGCTTATCAGCTATGTTAATAGTACCATTTTCGGAACGTTTTTCAACAGACACTGCATGGACATTCTTAATGATTCCTTTTACTGAAACCATGACATTCTGATTCAACATGAGTTTTTTTAAATGCTCTATTACTAATGGAGACCATTCCCCATCCAATTCCATTATTCCTAGAAAAAAATTAGTCATAATTAGTTGACAAAAAATTACAGTATTTCTACATTCTCTTATTCTGCAAGGCATGATCTTAATTATAAAAATGATAATATTTGGGTAATTTTCTGAATCTACTGATGAAGGTCAAAATAAATTCACATATTTTAGGTGGGTTTATAAAACTGCTTACATGTACTATTTTTCTAGGAAAGAGAATTTTAATAATAAATCTGGCTCCTCTCAAAAAAAAAAGTAGTCTATGTAGTATGAACCAGTCTAATCTCATCTAGTTGGATCTATAACAGGGATGTCAAAATATAATGGCCTTTATTTATATGTATTAAAAAAACCCACCTTATTAGTCTCATTCAAATTTTCACTAAATTTTCATTGACAAGTCAAGTACATTATTAAATACAGGCAGGTATATACCATATATAACATTAACACTTAGAAGACTGTAAGGTCAACAATGTAGTTCAAACTTACAAAACTTCACACTTGGAAAATAACTATTAAAACTTTACCTTCAAATGAACACCTAATTATTTGAAAAGGAAGTTCCAGGTAGCTGGTAGTGATTGGCTGAACCCGAGAAAAAGGCAAAGTTTCAATGTTTCCATAGTCAGCATAGAGTACTTTTACCTCAGATTCTGAGACCGTCAGGATGATAGCACGGTACCAATAATTGTCACCTGAAAGATGAGACCTCACATAAGAAATTACATTTAATGTTCTCTTCCCTTGAAAGCTGGCCAGTAATAATTTTAAATCACTCAAAAATTTTCAATCCACCCATATGAAGAAAGGAGAAATGCTACATATTTCCTCACTCCTAACTTGCCACTTGCTGTTTCATCCTCTGTTAGGTTACCAAATTTACAGCCTGCTATGTCAGACAATGGGAAGTTGAGCCAATAGAAATACAAAACTATTTGCCTGTCCTAAAGTTTGAGAGATTAGCCAATCTCTATGCTTCTCTCCAAATATATCTAGCTCAGAAGTTTAACGGTTACACTTTCATTTTATTCCAAATTGTTTATTTTCATTTTGAAAAAACAAATTTAAGCATAACAGTTCATGGGCTTCTATTGTTATCAAACCACTAGGGTTTTTTTAATCAGTACTTTATACAATAACTCAAAATACAGCAAACAAGCAATGCTGTAACTTAGAATGCACTAATCCACTCATTAAAAAAACAAGTATCACTTTGACTGTCATGCTTTTGACATAAACCTACATTTGAGACACCCAACACATCTGATCATGTAAATATGACTATTGGATTTGTTTATATATCTCTACACCTTTTCAATCTTTTTAAATAAAATCAACTACATTCCTTGTATGACATGTACCTTGTAATGACATGGAACATCCTTCACTGTTTACATGCACATTACATCTTCATATACAAATATGACATTTCTCAACTACCACAAGTAGGGCATGGACAAATTGTGTTTCTAGAAGGGTTGATGGGCTTGTACAGATCACCTTATGTCCTTGCCCAACTTCCAATTGTGACCAAAGGCACAGGTTTCTGCAACAGCTAGCCATAAAATAGACAAACACATTTTTCTATACACTAGAACCACACCCATGACCCTGGCCTTGTTGACAATCTTCTAAATAACCTAGCTTTAAGTGAACAGACACAGAATTCCCTTACCTTTAGAAGCTTAGCACTTAAAATATTTCAAATCTCTAGTTACATATGAAAAGAAACATATAGTTATTCCTTTAATGGAAAGATCCTTACTTGTAAATCTGGCACAGCACACATCTCCAATTCTTGGTTTAAAGAGTACTCTATTTTTCTGAGAGTTGCAATGTTCTGTTAATTTAACTGTCATCAAATTTAATTTTTCTTGGTCTGCTTAAAATATAAAAAGTTATTCTGTGAGCAGTTTTAGTTTGTACATACTGCATTTTAATAAAGATTAATAGGAACAGCAAGTTAATCCATCATTTCAAATGTATTTAGACAAATACATATGTACCCATGTGTATGTATGTTGTCCTTTGTAGTTTAAAAAAAGAAAGATAATTATTCTTATTTTGACTTCTGTTACTTGCAGGGCTGTCAGAAGTGCTGGTTCCTAATTTTTTTGTTACAGTTCTCTATATATAGTTAACTTCAATACTAGTTAAGAAGTCAGTATAAAGCAGGTTTTAGCTTTCATCATGTTTCTAAACATAAATTTTTTTTTTAAAAATAAGACCTTATTTGAGGCCTAATTTACAACATTTTAAAAGCAACTCCATCCAACCTGAATTTGTCTGTTGTTAATTTATTATCTCATAATAAAATACTCAAGTTTTCCAAATATAAATTTCCAAGCAAAAAGCAGAAAGATATGAGTAGTAGTAAAACTGTCATGGCTAAATTAGAAAACACTGGCTTTGAACACCTAGATACAATAAAACCTCGATTAATCAGAATTCTTAGACAAATGTCTTTTGATCAATCAGAAAATCCTTTCCATTTCAACCTTAATTGCTGAAAATATTTTTGAGATATGCACCTCCCTTTCTTAGCACACTGAACATAATTTAAAGTTTCTTTCATGAATTGGACTTTCTGAACATTATTACTATACAATATCATAAATATACTACACCGAAACTTAATGTGTTGACCCAGATACAACCAGAAGAGTTTGTTTTGCTCCATTCTGTAAACTAAATTACTGACAGGTGAATCACAGGCAAATTTCTCTCCTAAATATCCAGGGCACAGCAAAATTATAAGTAAGGAATACAAAATAACTCAGATTTCTGTGTATGTGTAAAATTTTAAGCAAATTTTCAGAAATACTAGGCATCAAAATTTATTTCTTACCTCTACTCTCAATTGGTAATGCATAAAACAAGCTTGGGCTTATTATCTCTAGTATGCAAGCTGGTATAATTTCATCAACTGGAAATTCTATTGTCTTCCACTGCTCAGGAGAAGAGGTAGCTAATAGGATACAAAATGTAGTTCCTGAATTAAATCTATATAAAATGGGAATAAGAATGCAATTCATCCAAGTGCAGTTATTAAGTGCTTAATGACAAACATTTTGGTAAAATACTGACAATACAAAGAATACAAAACTAAAACAGACTCTTCCCTTAAGGAGTTATGTTCTAGTGAGGGAGATAACATGTACATTAAAAGCTACATGGAATACTATCTGCCTCTAGATTGAGAGCTAACAGACTCAGTGAAGACTGAAGCATATTTCCTTTGCTTCTCTGGGGGTATGGGGGAGAGATGTGACTAATGCTGGAATTTATTTTGCCTGACTATACGTATTTGTAATGGGTTTTATTTTTCTTGTCTGCTGAAATAGGTGGGGAAGGGAGAGAAAAGAGGGAGAGAATTTGAAATTGAAAACTGAATAAAAAATATTATATAGAAGATATAGACAAAATAAGTACAAAGTAACAGAAAGGAAGACAATAGCATATAAAGGGGCTAGGAAAGACTTTCTTGGAAAAAAAAAAGACTTTCTGCAGAAAGTGGTATTTAGCTGAGCCTTGAAGAAAGTCAGGGATTCTAAGAAGTAGAGGTGAGAAAAGAGAATTCAGACATGGGGTTAGTCAGTGCAAAGGCATGGATATAGAAGACAGAGCACCTGTGTGAGAAACAGCAAGCAGGGCAGAATGGCTGGAATGTAGAATTCATGGAGATGAACTAGCTTGAGTGGGGAGGGCTGAAAGAAGTGATAATGAGTTCATTTTGGGACATGTTCGTAGATCCCTACATGACGTCCAGTCAAAATATCCAATGGAGCCCTTCTCCTTGGCCAAGGCAAAATCCTCTACGCTGAATAAGGGATTCCATTCTATTCCATTTCTCTAATAGATCGACCTTTTCTATCATCCCCCATTCTCTCACATATCTTTAGTCTTTCCCAGTCTCCTGGATGTTTCCCTATGGCTTACAGACATACCTATGTCTCCCTCATCCTTAAAAAAACTCTCACTTGATTCATCCACTTCCAGTAGTTATCATCCTCTACCTCTCCTTTCTTTCGTGGCTAAATTCCTAGACAAGTTGATATACAATAAATGTCTCCATTTTCTTTCCTCTCATTCTCTTAACTCTTTGCAGTCTGGCTCCTGACCTTACCATCCAACTTAAACTTTTTTTCTCCAAAGTTAACAATGAAGTATTAATTGTAAAATCTAGTGGCCTTTTCTCAATCCCTATTTTTCTTGACCTCTTTGTAACCTGTGACACTGTCAATCTCCTTCATTTACTTGATACTCTATTTTCTCTAGGTTTTTGTGACACTACTCTCTTCTGGTTCTCCTTTTGTCTGACATCTCTTTCTTGGTCTCCTTTTGCTTCATCTTTATCCAAGTGATGATGACTAATGTTCCCCTCAAGGTTCTGTCTTGGGCCCTCTTCTCCCTCTATATTATTTCACTTGGTAATCTCATCAGCTCCTATAATTCAAATCATCTCTATAAAGATGATTCTCAGGTCTATTTCTCTTAACCCCTCTCTTGACCTTCAGTATCACATCTCCAATTGCTCACTAGATATCTCAAACGGGATGTCCCATAGACACCTTAAACTCAACATGTCTAAAACAGAATGTGTTATCTTACCCCCAAAAGAGTTCCTTCATCTTAACTTTTACTATTACTGTCAAAGGTACCACTAGCCTAATGATCACCTAAGCTGGAACCCATCCTAAACTCCTTTTTCTTTTACCCACCATATCCAATCAGTTGCCACATCCTATTGTTTCTGCCTCTGACACTTCTACCAGCCTGGTGAAGACCCTCTTCATCCCATGCCCAGAATAGTACAATAGTCTTTGGGTCAGTCTCCCTGTCTCAACTCTTTCCTTGGCTGTCAGACTGATGTCCCTAAAGCACAAGTCTCACTGTTCCCCCTTTGCCTCCATTCAATAAACTCTAGTGGTTCCCTATCGCCTCTGTGAAGATAAAATCCTGTATTTGGTTTTTAAAGCCCACTGTAATCGAAGCTCTTCCCACCTTTCCAGTCTTCTTATATGTTACTCCCACACCTCTGGTATCATGTGGTCCAATAATACTAGCCTCTTTGCTTTTCTTCATATACTCAATCCATCTCCCAACTTTAGCCTGGAATTCTCTCTCTGTTCATTTCTGCCTCCTAGCTTCCCTGGCTAAACTCCTACCTAAGAATAAGAACACTTTCTTAGTCATTCTTAATCTTAGCGCCTTTGCTCCAAGATCATCTCCAACACATCCTTTACATATCCTACTTATACATTAGCTGTTTGCATGCTGCCTCCCCTATTAGACTTGAGAACAAGGGCTGGGTTGCTTTTTTTTTTTTTAACCTTTCTTTTTCTTTTTTTTTTTGGGCAATTGGGGTTAAGTGACTTGCCCAGGGTCACACATGCTAGTAAGTGTCAATGTTTGGTCTGACCCTGCATTTGAACTCAGGTCCTCCTGATTTCAGGGCTGGTGCTCTATCCACTGCACCACCTAGCTGCTCCTTTTAACCTTTCTTTTGTATTCCAGTGCTTAGCACAAGGCCTGGCAAATAGTAGGTGCTTAATAAATGCTTGCTGACTGATTGGAGGGCTGGATATCTAGATCTGGGATGATGATTAAACCCAAGGAAGCTGATGAGATAATCAAATGAGAATATACAGACAAAGAGAAGAAGGCCTAGGACACAGCCTTCAGCCCACAGCTAGCAGAGGTGACAGGGGTGAAAATGTAGCAAGTAAGAAGAATGAGAAGTGGTCTGACAGACATAGGAGGAGAACTAAGAGAGCTTAATGTCACAAAAAACCTGAAAGGAGAAATGATCAACATTATAAAATGCTGTCAAGAAGGATGAGGTTTTAAAAAGACCATAAGGAGGGCAGCTAGGTGGTGCAGTGGATAGAGCACCGGCCCTAAAGTCAGGAGGACCTGAGTTCAAATCTGGCCTCAGATCAAACACGTGACACTAACTGTGTGGCCCTGGGCAAGTCACTTAACCCCAACTGCCTAAAAAAAAAAAAGACCATAAAATTTGGTAATTAAGAAGAATTCATTGGTAACTGGAGGTTTCAGATGAACGGAAGATCAGAAGCCATATTGTAGACAGTTTAAAAGTGAATGAAGGGGCGGCTAGGTGGCATAGTTGATAGAGCACCAGCCCTGGATTCAGGAGGACCTGAGTTCAAATTCAGCCTCAGACATATAACACTTACTAGCTGTGTGATCCTGGGCAAGTCACTCAACCCCACTGCCTAGCCCCCCCCCACCAAAAAAAAGTAAATGAGAGAAGTAGTGATGGAACTCACTACTTCTAGCAAATGCCTTTCTTAATATTAGATGATTACCTTGTGGTGATGGTAAAGTCTAATGAGCATAAAAAAATTCATTATTCAAATACCACAAGAATCATACAGTTTTTAGCTCGTGATTCTGAAGGCCTGGGTCGCCATTATAAATACCAATTACTGCTATTTCGTACAGTTAAAAAAAAAGTTCTGGTTATCTGAGCATTTTGGTTTTCCATATAAACAGAAATTTACCATATTAGTATTTGCTAATCCTATTCATGGCATGAAAAATATATTGTATTTGGTTGGTACCTTCAAGCTTTTGGACCTTTATACATTGAAAATTTTAATTCAGTTTAAAACACTTTAGTTTTTCAAAAACAGAATTTAGGAAATTTAATTCTTAACCTCCATAATTCAATGTCATGTTTTAGCAAACAGGTGATTCTAGGTTCTCAAAGATTATTCAGCAGAACACAACCAGGCAGATTCTACTATGCTGAAAAGGCTTTGCATTCTGTCCCAGTAACAGACTATTTCTATTGTAACTAAAGTCTACTCCAACACTCTCTAACTGCTAAAGCCTCCCATTCACCAACCCTCCATTTGTATTTCTTGTATCTCTTTTGCATATATGCATGTCTACCCCATCAAACTATAAGCTCCTGAGGACAGGAGTTGTTTCATTTTTATCTTTCTGTTCTCAGCACCCAGCACAGTGTTTTGCAGATTGTCATAGTAAGACAGCAAATATTACAGAGACAGAGTATACGAGATTGAGTAAGGGAAAGTAAGAAACATACACATGTAAGGAGCCTCTTCTGTAAAATTATAGGTGTGTGTAGCGTTATAATCTTATAAGGCTCACGAAGAAGGTAAATATAATAAGATAATGTATTTCTTTTTTTTTTTTTTAAAGGAACCAACCACAGGCAAAGCTACCCAGTCCTAAGCAATTGGCCTACCCAGAAGTTCCAAAGTGTAGTCTGAGAAGAATGAAGTAGAGATAATATTTCAAAAAAAAAGTATAACAGGGCAGAAATAACACAGTCGGATCATACCAATTCCTTCTCCAAATATTTGTACTTTCTATGAGGCCCAAGAGATGTGCCCTCTGGAGCAGTAGAGTAAAACACAAATAGAAATGAATCCCTGTGGGTCATATGTTGACTTAGAAAACCACAGATTAACATTATCTATGTTCTATTGTATTTTTACTTATTTTGATAAACATTTTTAAATTACAACTTGATTTGGTTCAGAGTTTGACACTGCTGCTCTGGAGAATATGAACAGGTAGACCTTGGGTCATCACAAGTAACCATGGCCCACCCTCATTAGGATAAGTCAACTATAGGACTTATATTCTTGCAGAGACATACTAGGCTATGTGTAATATTATTTCTGTGCTTTCCATTCAGTTTATATGGAAAACCAAAATGCTCAGAAAAAAAAAAGAATTTAGCTATGGTGTAGATCTCAAAAGTAATAATGATTACCCTATTCACCTTAGTGGAGGCAGTGCTTATCACAGCCTAGATGCTATTAATAAGACTATTTTAAAACAAAATGGTAACCTTGGTGGACTTACTACATTTGAGATGAGGTCAAGCATTTATTAGCTGCCTACATGCCAGACAATAATGCCTTGTGCAGTGACTAGAAAGAACTAGGACTGTGTGTGTGTGGGAAA